TGGGATATGTAATTGTGGTTTAAAAGCTCGATTTATACAACAAATAAATGAAGGTCGATACAATGGTTCAAACTCACTTACAAGTCATCGGAAAAGGCATAGTCACCCTTTTAGGAGATGTTATTGTGGTTTAGAAGTTCGATTTGTACAACAAGTAAATGAAGACCCCTACAAGCTCGATCTACGACCCCTACAAGGTTGATTTGTACAACAAATAAATGAATACCCGTACAAGGTCGATTTATTTATACAACAAATAAATGAAGACCCCTATACATGAAGATCCATGCAAACTTGCTTCTAAACCAATGGACCAGTTATCATTAATCTAACAGGTAACCAAATAAATGACATGACAATATTGTGATGTGGAAGTCACGTAAGATCTTATGTGGTAGTATTGAGTTTCAAATATAAGGTTTGCATCGAACCCAATTTCACATATCTTTTTAGGTCGATGCAAACCCTATATACGAAACTCAATCCTACCACATAAGATCTTACGTGACTTTCACATCACGATATTATCATGTCATTTATTTGGTAACCTGCTAGATTGATGGTAACTGGTGAATTGATTTAGAAGCAAGTTTGTAGAGATCTTCATATATAGGGTCTTCATTTATTTGTTGTACACATAAATCGACCTTGTAAGGGTATTCATTTATTTGTTGTACAAATCGACCTTATAGGGGTTTAAGATCAACCTTGTTGGGTCTTCATTTACTTATTATACAAATCGAGCTTCTAAACCACAATAGCATCTTTAGAAAGGGTGATTATGCCATTTTCAATGACTTGTAAGTGATTTTGAACCATTATATTAACATTTATTTATTCGTTGTATAAATCGAGCTTCTAAACTACAATAACAATCTCCTGAATCAGTCAATTGGTTGACATGCAACAAAATTGTAAATGTAATGAAATAATTGAGAAAAAAACTCGGTGTCAAAATCAAAATTTTGTAGTAATATAGTGACTCTCTTGCAATTTGAAACTTGGTGTCAAAATTGAAATTTTGGTAAACTTAGTGACTATATTGCAATCCGAAAAAAGTGGTTACTGGGAGAACATGAAGAATCAGTCATTTGGTTGATATTGGAACAAAATTTTAAATATAATGATATAATTGAGAAAAATTGATGTCAAAATCGAAACTGTTATGTAATATAGTGACTTTCTTTTGATTTGCCCTTTTAAAAACAATTTTATAAACGACTCATACATAAAAAAATTCATAAAAACAATCGTCATCTAATAAAAAAAATTATAGAAATGGTCTCTCTAGATTTTTTAAAAATTTTACAATATATATTTTTCTTTAAATTGACAGAAATAGTCCTTGTTGTAAGAAAATATATCAGAAATGAAATTAACAGAAATGGTCCCTATTTTGATAAAATATTTCATAAATGGTCCATATGTAAAAAAAAAGTATAGAAATGATCACCGTCTAAGAAAATTTTACACAACCTAAAAATTATAGAAATTATCTCTATTTAACAGTAAAATTACATAAATGGTCCATGTGTTTTATAAAAAACGTCTCTTAATATAAAAAAGTTACAGTAATAATATATGTATAAGAGAAATTTAAAGAAATAATGTTTCTATTATAGAAATTTTTAGTTATTTTGGTTTATACAAACCATTTATATCAATAATACGTCGCAACGCGCGATCATAAAATTAAATAAAATAAATATATAATGTAAATCATGGTATTATACATATGTGATTCTATTATTAAGGGAAAGTGCAATTAAAATAATGTACTTTTTATTGTTTTTTCTTGTTATAGAAGCTTTCTTTTGTTTCTTTATTATTACAACATCACATTTTCTATTTTATTTTTTGACAAACAATTATTTTTCGAAAAATAAATATTACATAAGACATAGGTCCGGTTCGATCTTTTGAAGGCCTTGTGTAAAAATCAAAATAAGACCCTACAAATTTTTTCTTGTAAAGTATTATTAATTAAATTTGCTACCTCTAAATTCAAAACTTAAAGTTGGTAACAAACATTTTAGAAATTCACTACCACAACATCATATCTTCACTTATTAGTAATAAATTGAAACTTTTACAAACAACTTTAAAGGGAAAAAAAGAGATAAAGCGTCAGTGCATTACTATTTTCTAAACATCGAGCTTTTAGCATTTTTAGCAGCAAATTCATCTGTTATACTTTCATAATGAATATTCTCAAGAAATTCGTTCTCGATCAAAATTAAAGCCAAAGCGTTTAATTTCTCTTGAGACATGGGAAAGCGCAAATATGATTTTAAAAGCTTTTTTCCCTTGATGCAACTGTAAAGTTTATAATGTTGTATATGCTAGACAAGAAATTGGATAGGTGTTTATCATTTTTAAGAAATTTAGTATATTGTTAGGCAATTTTTTTCAACTGGTAAATGTATTTGTAGCAATTCTAATTCCTTGAATAAATCATTAGCATCCCAGTTTGAGATATAGCCATTTTCCAACATTTTTTCTAGATTTTTGCGACTTGCCTTTAACTCAATGTCACTCTTTTCAAGAAGTTTTTTCTTATTAAAACGTCATATAATGAATCAAAAACTTCATTTGATGAAGTAAACATGCTCACAAAAACACTATTTCTTTATACACGAATTAAACATGTTTATAAAAAAAATTGCATTTTATGTTTATACAAGTTAAACATGTCTACAAAAGATCATAGATTTTGAACATGTTTACAAAGATCAACCGAATGATTTATTTATTTACTCTTTTATTTTGATTTAAACAAAAAAAGAAAAACTCTATTTTTTGTTGAAATTGGATATATTATTATTATTATATATAATAAAAAGCAACTTGGTTATAAATAGTATATTTTTGGATTTTAGACTTTTGTCACAATAATTTTGGTTTTAGAATTTTGTCACAATAGTTTTGGGTTTTAAACTCTGGTCATAATATTTTTATATGTTGGCAGATTTGGTCCCTATGTAAAAAATATATTACAAAAGTTGTCCTTGTAACTTACAAAAAATGTTCATGTGTAGTTTTTTTTAACCAAAATGGTTCATGTATTTAAATAGTATACTCTTTGGGTTTGAGACTTGCCATAATCTTTTTGTATGTTTGGAGATTTTGTCCATTTGTAGAAAATAAATTAAAAAAATTGTTCATTTAATTTACAGAAAAGGTCCTTATGCATACATTTTTACGGAAACTTGACCATTTGTTTAAAAAAATTTGAAAAATGGTCCCTACCTAATAAAAATTTACGGATTACGCACCTTGCAAAGCGGACATTGGAGCGTATAGGTTTGATAAAGACAATTAAAAATTACCGGTGCATCCCTACCGAAGTGAGAAGAGGGAAATTTCTAGTTTGATATATAGTATAAATGTGTTATAAAACTCTAATAAACATAATATCCATGACTTAAAGTAAAGTATTATACAAATACGGTTGTATTATTAGGACTAACTGCAATAAATAGTAATATACTTTCTGTTTTTTCTTATTTTGTCAATTTACTTTTATTTATTCTTATTATTTTGTCAGCAGTGGGTCAGAGGTTTCCGACGAGTAAGAAGTTGTCAGTGGCGGCAGGTAGAAGTTTTCCGACAGAGTATAAAGGTGGTGACGCATGGTCGGCGGGTGATGACAGATTTGGAGAAGTTTCTGGTGTTAGTGGTGGCTTTGGGGAAGTTTCCGATGATGGTGGATTTGGTGTTGTGGTTAAGGTTTTTTAGTGTAGAGAAGAATGAATAATATATCTAATAAAAAGGGAGAGGGTAGGACCCATATATATTTTTTTGTTCAAAATCTTTTTTTAATCACATAATAATAATAAAAAAGGGTATAAATGGCATTTTATGTTTGGTAGGGACTTAATCCGAAACAAATACAAATAATAGGGACTTTCCAAATTAAAAAACTTTGTTAGGGACTAACCACACAGATGACCCCAAACCACAAGGACCATTCATGTAATTTACCCTATTTTTAATTACATCATCAAAATTTAGTTTATTATTATATTTCACTTAAACTGTTTTTCTTATTAAACATCATCATACAATGAAACTTCAGGAAATGAACATGTGCATCATAGATCACTATGTCAGGTTACATAAGTTAAACATATTGCTCATGCTATTGAAGTATCCAAGTTCAGGTGAGATTATATAAATAAGACAAAATTATATAAATGGCTCTTATCGTATATCAAATGTCACAATGTCTCTGTTATTATTATTTTTTTTTACGAATATGGACTTGATAATTTCTAAAACTTACACGAATGGTCCTTGAGACACATAAAATGACTTCTTTACCCCTTATAAAATTATTTTATCATTTTTTTATTTCATTTCAATTATAGAAAAAGAAGTATAAATAAAAAGAAGAAAATTAATATAACCCTCCCACCCCCACCCACTTTTGTACTGCTACCCACAACACTATGGATGAGTTTTTTAACCGAAAAACCTAACCGGAACCAAAACTGGTTGAAACCGATCAACATTATTTGGATAAAACCGAATTGTCCAATTGGATGATTTGGATTGGACTATTTAGTTCGGATATTAGTACTTTTAGATTGGTTTTACTAAAAAAAATTCAAATAGATTAGAAATTTTCACCTAATAAAAAACGTTAATATGTCTCTCTTCTAAAAAAAATTATCTGTAAAAACTATCTCTTGTGACTTAGGAAAGAAAAACTATCCCGACTTGTATATTCAATAGCATCTAAGGGAAATAACCACATTATAGAAATTGTCCTAAGGCCACACTAATGTAGGTATATTCTAACACTCTTTACAAAAAATATGTACTAATGCGCATAATGCATGTAATGCAAAGGCTATGATCTTACATTCTTCTCAAAGTGAGATGCATATAATACATATACATGAAATGTCCCTAATTCTTTACACTAGTAAACTAAATCATGAAAAATATCTGAAAATCTAGCAACTATATCATTAAGCTCACATACCAATAGATCATCAAGAACAGCATGTACAATATCTAAAGCATGGAAACCAAACTACAAATAATGGAGTTGCTTTTTTGGTTTTTGTCTTTTCCTCTGATCCTTCAGCCTCTGGTGGTGGTGGTGGTGGTGGTCCTTGCTTTGGTTCTTCTGGAACTCCAGTCGATGAACCACCTTTCCCTGTCTCTCCTGCCACACTTAATGTTTTAGGGAAAAAGATCAGATTTTTAATAGTGAGATCAAATCGTAAATATTGATGTATATATCTGTATGCTCATATTCACAAATGTTTATTAAATTTGAAACAGCTTACACTGGAAACACAAAAGATCTTGAACTGCTGTCTGTAGAAAAACAAGAAGTATGCTCATCAGCAGTAGACTGGCAATCTTCTTTGTTTTCTGAATTGTTGGGTTCATGTTCATCTAGCATGTTTGATCCTTGATTTTTTACTTCATTAATTTGGGGGTTTTTTGTTGTGTCTGTTGTTTTATCATCCACAAATTGGGTGTCATAACCTAGGTCTAGATCTTCAAAAAGGAAACTGTCCTGGTTGTATAATCTTATGCTGCCCATGGGAATGCTGAATAAAGACTCGTTTGAAGCCATGCTCCAATCACCTGGAGTAGTGGATTTCTTTCTTGTAAACACATGAGATGGGATTCTATATTTGGGGGTTTCTTGACGTTCCATTAATTGGATAGGAGGGCTTTCAGAAATGTGATCATTACGTGGTGGGATTGATGAGGAGGGATTTGATTCCTCATTGGGCTTTTCTAATTGATCATCAGCTTTTAACTTAAAAGATGATTTATCATGTTGAGTTTCTAAATCTTGAACAGGTGAAGAATCAGATAAGATGGAGGAAGAGCAGGATGCGAAGGAAAGAACCTTTTTGTCTGAATCAAATTGAATAGATTCATCATTGACAATGGCAGGATTTGCAATCGATTCATTACCATTGCTTGTGGTTGCATGCTCTGATTCCAAGTCCTCAGATGTCTATTTTGACTTATCTAAAGATCCCATATCATGCTACTCATATATCTGCATGGGATTAGATATGAACACTTCTGTTAGGATTTAGAAATCCTAAGTTATGATTCATTTGAATCATTTGAATTGATGATCTAAACAATATAGAGAAATTCTAGAACAAATTCAATCGAGAAGAATGTAGAATAGAAGAATCACACGTTCATGACTAGTGATACACAAACTAAAATTGATCAACGTAACAACAGTTAGCTTTCACTCTACCTTTTTTAATTCCTTCTATATCAAATCTTTGCAAGCTCATAAGGTATAAGTGAAAAAAGGCAAACCTGAAAGCAGAGAAGACAGCTCTAGACACAGACTCCCAAAGTTAGGTTTCGTTTGCATTTTCTATCTCTTTTATTGATTTACTCTACGAAAGGGGGAATTCAATCATACAGATAAACACAAAAATCTGAATAATTCATGACCAAATAATACAGATGAGTCAAATTCGAGAACACAGTGAAGTCTTTGACATTGTTTACCCTACGAAGCAGATAGAGATTAAAGGAACCCGTGGACCTTCAGCCTCCGCTACCTGAAACCTAGGCCATGAAATCAGCAAAGCCTTTCATCTCGGGTCGATTTTATGGAATCGTATCGATTAAAAATCAGAATTGCTGCGTGGTGGTGAGGGAGAACGGAGCGAGAATGATGATGGAGGAAATGGAATAACGAGATCCCCGGCGTCTCCCTTACCCCGGTGATCTTAATTCTTAAGTGACGAAATTTTCTTTATGACTTCGTGCGCGCCATTATTGCCTTCAGACGATAAATTAACATTCAGTATATTTTCCTTTCTTCCCCTCATCTTTTTGCTCGTTACAAATGCCAACTTTGTTTTTGAACCGGGAAACGAAGATAATATATTATAAAAGAGTCACCCCTAGGAGAGGGAGAGACGTACGGATAGCATATATACAAGGAAAAAAAAAACAATAAGTGAGTTATAATCAAATAAAAGGACTAACATTCTAGTAAATCCAGTTTAGATTTTCGCGATCACCTCTATGTTTAAACTAAATGAAAGTCGTGGCTTTGATTATATCCGCAACTTTCGTAGCATTCACCCTTTGATTAGTGAATAATCCTTTATTTATGGTTTTCCAAATGCTCCATATCATCCCGTAGCAGATGCCCAATAGTCGTTTCTTCTTTTTTGGACAATTACCTCAGTTAGAGGCATAATCCAGAACTTCGTTTACCATTTTGAAAGTCATCTGAGGGGACATCGCACCATTTAAAAATTCATTCCATGATTGTTTTTGCAAAAGGGCACTGGACTAGTACATGGTCTGAACATTCCTCCGTTGAGTTGCACAAGCAACAGGTGGTTGATTGTAAATTGATTCTCCGTTTAGCTAACGCCACTGTGGTTGGGATGCGACCCATTTTTGCCCTCCAAATGAAGCATGTGACCTTTGATGGAACCTCCTTAATCCAATTGAATCTTCCATTATCTGTGGCACCCTTGTCCTCTAGTACATGGTGAAGGGCGTTCACTTGATATCTCCTATTTCCCATAAGGTCACATTTCCATGAGATGCCATGTGCCCCTTGGTGTTTTTTAATGATTTTATCATGTGGAATGCTCACTTTGTCAATTGCGCGTTTGATGTCGGCAATATTATTCCAAACTCTTGACATTGTTTTTAAGGAATAGCAGTCATCATCTTTTTTGTGTAATTTATGGATGCTTGTGATAACTTTTGCCCACAACATGGATGGTTTTGTTCGTAGAAATGTTTAGGCCTTTAGTGGTTTAATGGATGCAACCCCCAAACCACCCTTCGCCTTTTTTGCAATGACTTTGTCCCAAGATACCCAATATATGGTCTTATTGTATTCTTAACCTCCCCAAAGAAAACGTCTTCTAATTCTTTCAAACTTGTTCAGGATCCTGCAGGTACAGCAAAAAGTGACATATAGTAGTTTTGTAGGTTCCCTAATGCAGATTTGACTAGTGTCAAACGACCCCTAAATGATAATGTTTTTGACTTCCAGATTGATAATTTGTTTTGAAATATTTTGATTATTGGTGTCCAGTGTCTAGCAAGTCTCATGTTAGTAACCACCGGGATACCGAGATATGTGAATGGTAGGGTGGAGGATTTGCAGCCTAGGGGCCGAGACCAACGGGAAACTTCATTTAGATCAGCCCCTACACCAAAAACTCTTGATTGGTTGAAGTTAACTTTAGACCAGAGGCAGCGTGGAAGCAACGGAGGATTCGTGACAGATTTTTAATATTGTGTTTTGACCATTCCCCTACAAATAATGCATCATCTACGTATAGGAGGAGTGATATTAATAGACCTCCATTTGGAAAACGAAGTCCTTCAAAGACACCTTTGTCACATGTCGCCTGCATTGCCATACTTAAACTTCCATAGCAGCAATGAAAAAGAAGGGGAAGAGGGAATCTCCCTGTCCAACCCTTTAGAGGTCGTAAACTTATTAGTTGGGTTTCCCTTGATTAAGATAGAGGAATGTAATGATTGTAGGTAACCCCTCATCCATATTTTCCATTTACCCCCGAGCCCCATTTGCATTAAATTGTTGTCCAAAAAGTCCCAATTTATTAAGTCGAAAGCTTTGTCGAAATCTACCTTGAATAGTAGAATTTTCTTTTTGGATTTCTTTGCCCACGAGCATAATTCATTTACGACAAACGGTCCATCCAAAATGCTTCTTCCTTTCACATAAGTTGACTGGACTTCGGAGATGCATCGATCCATTACTTGCTTGATCCTGAGACAGTATTTTGGCGATAATCTTGTAGATGCAACCGACTAGGCTGATCGGTCAGTAATCACTTAGTTTTAATGGGTATTTAATTTTGAGGATAAGTGAAATAAATGTTGGGGTGCACGATTTGTCAAGCCGACCGTAATGTTTGAAGTGTTTAACTACAGCTGCAATATCACCAAGTAAAACCTCCCGGTATTTTTTTTATGAACTTAAATGTAAATCTGTCTGGTCCCGATGATTTTTCATTTCCACAGGCCCAAACAGCTAGTTTTATCTCCTGTAGAGTGAAGGGTGCGTCGAGGGCATGTTTGTCTGAGTCTGGCAACTTTTTGAAGAGGGGACTCCTGAATTTTGGTCTACAAGACCAATGTTCTGTGAATTTTTCTTGGAAAAAGCGAACAACCTTTGTTTTGATTTTGGAGGGGTTTGTGCACCAATCCCCATTAATCATGGGACCATTGATGCGGTTCTTTCAATCGTTGTTTGTAACGCCCGTAGATTCGGGATAGTCAATTTAGAGATAATAGGGGTCGAAAACGACTTTTCGACAAAAGATTATTTAGAATAAATAATCTTAACCAAGTTGTAGAATATGTCTTAAGGGTTACGTACATATAAAGAACGCCGAAATCCGAGTTATAACGAAGAAGTTATGGCCCGTCGAAGTTTTACGGCAAAACCGGCACGGCACCGGGAGACGTAAATAGTGAATTTACGATAGAGGACTTTTTAGCCTTATTGATCTAAACAAAATTTTTAGTATACGTTAAACCAAGAACATACAAAAAAAGAACGCCCAAATCTGACTTCGTATGAGGAAGTTATGAGTTTTCTAAGATTTGGCTTAGCACTGCACGACCCGAAACTCGAATTTTAGTTCGAGTGGTTTTTGGCTTACGCGACCTAAATGAGAGTTGAAGATCTCATTAATAGGAACTCAACGATAAAAAGACAGACGAAAACGGAGTCCGTATGAAGGAGTTACGAATTCTTCGCGGTCATTTAACAGTCTAATCTCCTGCTACTGTTAAATTTAAGATCGGTCGAGAATTAGCCGACGGATTCTAAATGAAAGTTGTAGATCTTGTTTTTACCTACACGTGGAAAAAAATAACGTCGAAAACGAAGCTCGTATGCGAAAGTTACGGGGTTTAGAAGTCGGCAGAGTGCTGCTGCAAAAGGGGTGACGTGGCTGAATATGGGCCAAGACTTTCTCCCCAAGAAAAGCCATCAGGTGATGACACATGGCACCGACTCGGCGAGTCAGTGACCTGACTCAGCGAGTCCATCATGATTTCACCCTATAAATAGAAGTGACGGGTCATGCCATTTCCTCACACCTTCAAACCCTTCTTTCTCTCTCTATACTCTCTCTCTAAGCCTCCCTAACCCCCTAAAGTCTAGGTAAACCCCCTAGCACCCGAAGGAAGCCCCGAGGCTCCCGGAGTCCCGAGAAAAAGGGTCTTTCGGTTCAGAAACGCTGCTCCAAGCGAAGCCTTGTTGTCTATAAAACCCGCTGTAAGTGAGCTACGCCTACACTATTTTTAATATAGCTTTTATTTAATTATAGTAACGTTATTAGGAACTTATAATAAGTACTTGGGCTATTATTATGGGTTATATAAGTACTGTTTAACGCTTATATAATAGTAATAATAGCTAGACTATTAATTAGTCGCAGTTAACGCTAGACTAAACCCTAGTGGTATTGATACTAGGTTTTGTCAAAGGAAAATTGTTTTGGGATAACGAAGTGCTGTCCGAGTACCGAGTCACCACCTAATCAGGTGAGTGCATAGTCCCTTTCATCCTACACATAGATATGAAGTATTTTAATATAAATTACGTGCTATGTGTGCATATTGTCTGAATACTTGCTGTCTATGCTGGGTGAAAGATTTTTATATATGTTTTAAATGATTTAAACTGTATATGTATTTTATATCTACAAAATGTGTTGGGTAAAACATGGGTAGATGAAATAGTTGTTGTGTGACAAAAACAAAATGATGAGAGGTGATATAGACCATGAGATAAGGGTGAGAGGTGAACTATGAGAGAAGCTTTTTACCCAAGTGTTGGCCACGTCATCTAGCAGAGTATGGATGACAACCACGGACTATTCTAGACAGTCCAGTGGAACACTAGCAGGCTCGCAACCTGTAGGTGTTATTTGAACTGTGTATTCATTAGCTGTACTCTAAAAACCCATTGACATGTATTGCGAGTGGATTCTCTGAAACGATATTGTCGATAAACGAGATAAAAACCCATTGACATGTATTGCGAGTGGATTCTCGGAAACGATATTGTCAATAAACGAGATAACCCTGGCAGATGCGCCTAAAGGACTCTACCGGCAGAAGCGCCTAATAGAGAACCTCATAACCCCGGCAGATGCGCCTAAAGGACTATACCGGCAGATGCGCCCCATAAAGAATGTCACAATTCTGGCAGATGCGCCTAAGTGATAATATTAGCAGTTGTGCTTGACAGATGTGTCATTAGCAACAATGGATTTCGTGCCTATTCCTTAGGATAATCCTTAGGAATGAATGAACGAGGAATAGCTGATTCTTAGGGTAGATCCTTAAGAGTAAAGAAGATAATGGGGATGGGTAATTGGGTTGACTGTTTGATGTTTAAACATAATAATTATATTATTGTGGGTTGAAAACTCTATGTACTCACTAGGTTTCCCAACCTGACCCACTCGGTTTATTTGAATCACAGGTGTCGATATGAAGTTACATTACACTGAGAGATTAAGGAGACATAAATCACTAGTGATAATGAATGTAATGTCTGTTTATGCTTATGTTTCTGTATTGACGATGACATCCCAATGTTTTAAAATGAATAAAATACATTTCTTCGGAAATGCTTTGATAACGCATTTATCATGTTTTTCTGGAAACAAATTCCGCAACATTTTTATTAAAAAGGGTACTCTGATTTTTTTATAAAGCATAAACAAAATCGGTCTTTTCTGGCCGTGAAAATGTGGATGTCACATTGTTGTTGGCGTATCCGTGAAAGAATCTGGTATTTTCATCCCCATCTATTGCCCATTTAATTTTTGATTTTTGCTTGGCATCAATTACCACTAACCTTTTCTTTTGAACGATCTCTTTGTACCCGTTTCTTTTTATTTCGAGTTCTTCAATCGTTAGTGATCTAGATTCAGCCTTTAAATCTAGGTCGTTCATCATGTTTTGAATTTTCCTGATGTGCTCCTCCTCAGCTATTTAGTTCTTCTTTAACATACTTGAGCTTTGCAGCTAAGTATTGGTCTAGGTTGCCAAAACCTTTGAAGTTATTTCATGCCTTTATGAATGTATTCTCAAAACCATCCTTTAACTTCCATGAAGTGAAGAGTTTGAAGGGTGGAGGACCGAAGTCACACCATGTTGATGAGAGTATAATGGGGCAATGGTTTGAGAGCTTTCTTGGCAATGCAGTGACAGATGTGGATGGAACGAGGTCCATGAATCTTGAGCTTACCAGGAATCTATCCAATTTACTTAATTTTGAGTCCTTATTCTGAAAACATGTGAACCGGTAACCCTCCAATTTAATGTCAACAAGACCAGCTTCATGTATAAAGCGATTAGAACTTCGGGTTGAATCTTTCTTCAGATCTCCGAACTGCTCTCCACTTTCTTTAGGTATTAATCATTATTGTGCATTAATGACATAATGGAATTGAGACAAAGTTGAAAAATCTTGTTTTGTTGTCATAAGAAATAGAATGAAACATTAATTATTTATAAGACTTTTTTTAGCTGATTTTCGTTTCATAGGGATGCATCTTTTTCATTCATTCTAGAATAAATAAAATGATATATATTATAATACATATTAAATCTTGCATCGGCTGGTGAACAGTGGCCGGT